CTTTGTTTCTTTTAGCAAGACACAGCCTGATAGGATCTTTAATGCAAAAAAGAAACTTACTATTTTCTCTGAGAGTGGAGAAAAGCAGGTTGCTTATTTCCAATGTGAACCTAGTGGCCATCTTCTATTAGAACTCATGTCCCAATCATCTCATGGTTTGCCGATTTCAAAATCTGGTGAAGTTCTGGGTTCTACTGCCTTCTCTTTAGAAGATTTGATTTGCCCAGCTTCGAAACTCACAATGGAAAAATGGTTGGAAGTTGTGCCAAGCACTAAAATAAAAGTACTGGAACCAATCTGTATACGAGTAGCTGTATCGGTTACAACACCTACTGCAGCACCATATGTTTTTCACATGGTTCGCTCCCGAGCATTCTCAAAAACTTCTTGTTTTTTCCCACTACCTGGAAGTATTCAATATGCAAAGAATTGGACTCGTGTCATTGATGATGCTGGTGATGAGCTCATTAGCCTGCAAATGAGGTATGTAGCTTTTGGTATTCTTTGTTGTTAGTGCTGTTCTAGTTTTTGACTTGCTCATAAATCTGCATGTTGTTTGTGTATATATCTACTTTACTTTTCTTTTCCCTCTAATTCAAGATTAAAATTTTAATCAATCGTAACATCTTGTGTGGTCATATAGTTAACACATCGGTAACCTTTAACATCACCATCAAAATATTGAGAAAGTTATTGTTCCTTTAAAACAAACTTGGAGTAAATCCTTTTCGTGTTTTTAATTAAGCCTAACTGTTTGATTTGGTGGAAGGGGACCATCTGATATTTGAATGTGCGTAGAAGGATGTGCTTGTTTTGACTTAAGTGAGAGTTCTAACCACTTCTACAATTCCATGGAACACTTTCAATTAAAACAGTTAAAAGACTATTGTCACCTTTACTTCTTGCTGTTTGAAACTGTCAGCTGTATTGAACTTGAGCTATTCTCATGAAATTCATGTTTTGACTGCAGGAACTCCAAGAAATCAAAGAGATTGAGAAACTCTACATTGCAAAAGGAGGTGATTGGCATCAGCAAGTCTGGTGAGACGCATTCTCTTGCGGAGTTAGTCGGGAAAGAGTGGTTGCTGTTAGATTCCCACTGGTCCCTCCAACTTCAAACTTGCAGTGGTGATGAAGGTTACCTTTTGGAGTTGGTTGGTGGTTCCAGGATTGTGAGTATTCATCCACTACACCTTACAAATTTTTTCTTCTTAAAACAGGATAGATTGGTAAACATGCGCATTAAATGCCTATGATTTTCACTTATCACTCTTTAATTTCACTCATCGACTGAATGATTGATATTTTCCATCAGATTTTAGGAATACTTCTTGCGGATAAGCACTATGTGTTGTTCCTTATACATTCATTCAAAACATTTCTCATTGATTTTTATGGGAATACAGTTTTGCTACATCTGAGTTCTTCTATTTAGACTTACTCCAGTCAATATCATACTATTTTGCTTCCAGCTGTACTGTCCAAACTTCAAAAGCTTAATATGAGCAGCCTTTGTCAGATTTGATTGTGTCAAAATTAGGTGCACAAAACTTCCAGTCGCCAAAAATCAATGAAAGACCTAAAAAACTTATACCTTGTGTGGTCGTTGTCGTCTTCTGAAGAATTAAGATTGTGTTTGAAGTCTCCTCAATCATTAGGAATTGGAGGTGGTGGTTAGTACTCCTGAGATTGCCTATTTTCCTTTATGTTGAGAATTTTATAAGAATAGCTCCTTGTTTTGCTTTTTTCTCATCTTGCTTTATGAAAATTTGTTTGGAAGAAAAATGAGAAATCTACCTTATCTCCACAACTTTAAATTATGTAAATAAATAACAAAGCATTAGCATGCACCATGAATGTTCAGCAATGAGCAATCTAAGGAATTAGAATCAACCAAAAAAAAAAACCAAGGGAAAATAAGAAAAGAACTTAAGGAAGTAGCACAGAGGGGATACGGTTTAATAAACTAGAAAGAAGCAAAAAACCATAGTTGAAGATAATCTTGGTTTTGGATTAAATCTGTTCTCACTCACTTCGTCAAAGCATGATAATGAATTGCTTATTTGACAGGAGATAGAAATGGGTCAGTGGTTCTTAACTTGGAGAAAGAGAAGAGGCGCAATTAAGGTTTAGAGAGAAAGAAGTGAATCCAATTGGCAGGTGGAAGTTGGTGAGGAGGGGAGGGGAGGCGGGTGTTCAATGGTTTTCTGCTATGTAGGACTAACGAAAAGAGAGGATAGGAAGATGGATAATGCATAGCTTCTAATTATTTCTTTTGATTGTAGTTTTGAGGATCTCACAAGTTTGCATCGTCTTTGCTCTCCATGACTTTACACTTTCCATACTCATTTCACAGGTAAAATTCTTCCCTGGTCAGAGATTGGATTATGAGCACAAGCATTGTGCAAAGCGAAGAAATCAAGATGATTTTATGACAGCAGTTGAATTCTCTTCAGAGCACCCATATGGAAGGGCACTGGCGTTGCTCGACTTAAAATGTGGTGTAATCAACGTAAGTCTATTAAATTCATTTACAATATGTTGCTTGTTTCAATTTCAAAACATGGGGTTACATCTGCCTGACTGCACGTGTTTCTTTGAAAAATCAGGTGAAAGAGGAGTGGTTACTTTTGCCTGGCACCATAACAACTTTTATACTAGGTGATATTTTGAGAAAGGAAGGGTATAGTAGCTTGCTGAGCAGCGGCAACAATTTGAAGGATAAGAATAATTCAACTGAATAAACTAATGCATGCAATGAATAGAGCAGTAAAAATAATCTACAATTTCAGATGCTGAGAAGACAACGCATGTTGATGTAGAGACTGCGAAAGGAAACGAGTAAATGCTGCCAAAAGGAGGAGCAAACAGCTGAGGCAGTGGCACTAGCAATGGCTGTGGTAGTGTCGTAAATAGCATGGTTCTCGTGACGGTGGTTATGGTGGCTCTGTGTGTGTGTATTTTTGGGGGGGGGAGTTATCTTGTGCAAGTAGGTTAATGAGCGGCGGTTGTGATTGCTGTAGGAGCAGAGATGTGGCAGTGGCTGTGCTGATAAATTTAGTGTAAAAATGGCGTGGGGTAGCCACTATTTAAGGTGGTATTTATTTTTTATCCAGCAATTCTAATGTTGAGCAAAAATAGCCACTACTCTATTAAAATTAATATGAAAAGACATTTTTACCCTTTCTTCCATTGCTTTTCTTCCCAAACCCTCGCTTCTCTCTCTCAAGTTCGATGCAGAGACATGTTTTATTGGATGCATATGTTGTTTGTGATAAAAATGTTGGATTGGGTTTTTTGATTCTTGTGAATTTGATGACTTTGAACAGTTACGAAGATGAAAAATGATATCTTGCTGTTTTTCTAACGAGGGTCAGCTTTGTCTTGTTTCGTGTGATTGCCACCTTTATTCGGTTTTTGCCTTCAATTTTAAGTATGGATTCAATGCTGAATTGGGTTTCTGATTCTTGTTGATGCATGTGTTGTTGAAAGGATTTTGTCCTTAACTTATAGTTACAAGCACAGAAATTAAGGACAAGTAGTCCTGAACTTAGAGTTACAAGTTCAAAAGTTAAGGACATGTAGTCCTGGATTTAGAGTTACAAGCTCAAAAACTAAGGACAGGTAGTCCTTACCTTAGACGTACAAGCTCATAAATTAAGGACAGTTAGTCCTGAACTTATAATAACAAGCTTATAAGTTAAGGACACTTGGTCCTGAACTTAGAATTGGAAGTTCAAAAATTAAGGACACTTGGTCCTTAACCACAAAAATTAAGGATATGTAGTCCTGAACTTCGAGTTCCAAGCACAGAAGTTAAGGACATGTAGTCCTGAATTTAGAGTTACAAGTTCAAAAGTTAAGGACAAGTAGTCCTAAACTTAAACTTACAAGCTCATAAATTAAGGACAGCTAGTCCTGAACTTACCGTAACAAGCTCATAAGTTAAGGACACTTGGTCCTGAACTTTATGAGCAGAAGAGTATTTTCGTTCGGGCGGGTAAAGTTTATTAAAGTAGTGGCTAAAGACTAAAGACATTTTAAACAGTGACTTAAAAGTAAATACATGTCTTATTAGTGGTTAACTGTGCACTTCCCACGGAGAAAGGTCTGGCCCAAAATAGTATTTGAGCTAATTTGGTCCTACTGATGGGTTGATGCTTGTATGTTTGTAGAGGTGGAACCACTCCCAATGTGTACATATAAGCACTTCGGGTTCTTGATGCTAGAGTGTCTTAATCATGATCTGGATGTTTGGAAATGTATTTATATAGTTATATGGTCTTCTGTGTGAAGCTTTCTGAGTTCTCAATTATTTACTTGCTTTGGTGGGGACTGTTACAGTCAAATTTATGAAAACCGGGTAGTAACAATAATACTTTGAGAGAGACTAACTAAATTGACAGATTCTAATGGTTGTAGGAGAAAAGCATACCGATGACCTCTTGACCACACATCTCGACTTAATGATGCATAATTTATTTTAATCGGTTTTGACTCTGATTCTTTACCCAAGTAGTATAATTTTACTTTGAGAAGCTCGACATCAAAAGTCTAACCGCAAAGAGATTCATAACGTGGCACAGTGGAATCATTGTCATTCAGCACAACGTGGTCCTACACACTTAACAAAGTGGGAATTGGGGTGTTGTAAGCATTTGCAAACTTTTTCACTTAGCCGATTGGTACAGTAAAACTTGCTATTCATTTTCATGATGTATATAGTATATTAAGATAGCGAAATTTTACCCACTCATTTTAGCTCCAAATTATGTATACATTGTTAAAAATTGAAACCATTATATGCGTGGTTCAATAGGTTCGAACCATTGACCTAAATCCTAAATTTACATGTCTGTGAAAGAGAGTAAAGATGCAGACAAATGATAGTGCATAACGCATCCAAGGAGTTGGTTCAGACAACTGTATTTGACCATTCCAAATGAGTATTTTTCGCAAAGATAAATATGATTTCATGAGTTAGTTGAGGTATCATTTCCCAATTTCCAAAATATTCTGTCATCTCTTCTATTCCAAGTTATACTCTATGCTTCTCCTTAATTTTGCCGTCAGCAGAAAGAACAAGAGGCAAGAGAGAACAAAAAAAACCACTCAAAATTTATCTAAGAATGACCCTTACCTAAAAGTTGATACGACTTTAATACTGATCACACAAAGTGGTGCTCTCTCAAAAGAATCAGGTCTCAAGTCTGAACATGTCCCTACTCTGTTCCTATAGCTTTTAAATTCCTTAGAATTAAAAACCCGTGTCTTTTTTTGCTCTAAATTTATATGGATTTGCTTATTTACTAAATGAAAATCATAGTGAGTTGATCTCCAAAAGAAAAAAAAAACTTGTGTGTGAGCTGGGTATAGCTTTTATTAACCAATTAAAGTTCTGTTAGTCATTTGATTTCAGATATGTAAAGTAAATCCAACTCTGAGTTCTTCTGAAGGTTGATTTGGAGATTCGGATGGCTTTTTTTTTCTCCAGAAACTTGCTGCGTCAAATTGAAGGTATGTTTTCCTGCATCTACTCCTTTTGAGGATTTACTTTGCGATCTGCAATTTTTTTTTTCCTTTTGTGCTTTATTGGTGTTAGAGTATGAATTTAGTCCTTTTGATTCAGTCACGGATCTATTGTGACGTGATCTACTGTGATGTGATGTTTATCAATGCTCTGTGATCCACTCTGCAGGAGTTTCTCGTGACTCTACTTTCTGTAACTTAGGGTCCATAAGCTTCTATTATCTTACCTGCAGTGAATTAGGACGTCGAAGTCTTCATTGTTTTAAGTAAAATTTATGCAATTAGGATTTAAATAAAAATACTATGAGTTACAATTTTTATGGTTTAAATTGTATCAGAAATTGTTATAAAAGGAAAAACATATGTCAAACTATTGAGACAAGGAGTATTTTGTCATCAACTTGAAGTTAGAGGTGTTAAAGATGAACAAGTGTTTCCATTTGATTAGCAATGGGAGGAGATAGCATCTAAAGATGTTCAGTAATCCTCAATCTCATTCTAGAAGTCACAGGTTTCATAGGAGGAGATAACTAGTTCTTAGATTGTTTTATGTTCAGCACTTGTGAAAATAAGTGGGAGATCTGATGGATTGAAAAGGATCTTGCTCCCTTCTTGGGTGCATGGTTTGCAAAGAAGCGTCTTGTTACCATCCAACAAGTGTCACAGCACGACCTTTCTGTAGATTAGCTATGTAAACAATTTACATGTGTGATTTGTCTCTCCTCATTCAAATAAATCAGAGATGCTTAGTTGTAGTTGAGGGAATAGAAACCTTTATTTTTGTACATCCGGAATCTAACCTTTCCCGTTGCCAGTTCTTTTGGGATTGAGTAATTCCACAGCTTTAACATTGTCATTCTGAAAGCTAAGAGGGAATCAGTTTTAGATGGAGCTTGTATGAGTAAAACTTCTGCGAGCCTTATCTGTGGGTCGTCATAGTGGTCTTTATCGCAGATGTTGGAGTAGATGAATAAAAGACGAAAGGATCGTGTGGAGTTTTTTTCCAGAAATTCCATAGCCTAATCTTCCAAATGCTGGTTTTAGTTCTTATAGAAGAAAACATCCTTCCTGAATTTGATCTTTTTGTCCTTCAGCTTAGAGAATATGAAATCATGCAATCTCTCTAAGCTAGACATTATTGATTGACAAATTCAACTATTACTCTTTTTCTCTGGAATCAGCTATTAGTGTAGAAGATTTTTAAGGCAAACATGTAACAGGTTTTGTTTCATGTCTTTTGTAACAAAGCTATCACATTTCTCTGGCAAATGGATGTGGATTTTGAGAGGTTTCATAAGAACCGGAATAAATAAATAAAAACTGACTCTTTTGCCATTACATATTCACAAGATAAGTTGGGAGATCTATTTGAACGGACATATATTAATCCTTGTTCCATCCCCGACTTTTGAGCAGGTCAACATTTTGCCATCTATACATGGTACTATTTATTAAACGTATATATACTTGACTCCACATATCCATAACTGCAGTCAGTCTGGATCCTACTTCCACGGACACTGATTAAGTGATTATTCTTTCCACTAGCATCATTTACTTTAATGTACAATTAGATATTTAGGAAGAAATTTCTGGTTTCAAATTATGAATCTCCCCTTAGGTTGACTATAACAAAGTCGCAACCTAAGTTGAATCAAATGGTAAGCGCGTAAAGTGTTTTTTTCACAATGGCCATAAACAATTGCTTCGAGGATGGCCAAAAAACACTTAGCTGATCAGATTTACTGTATTTTCAACAATCTGGATTGGCAGAATGATCTGTGTCATTTCCCAACTTTGTTTTTATAAATGATATAACTCCTAGTTTGTTGGTAGCAGACCTGTTTGATAGCTAAACCACTATCTCCCGTCTAACTCACCTTCAGCAACTCAAATTTTTTATTTTTCTTATTTCTGATCAAAGGAATGACATCTTTTTAAATCCTAACTATTATTAGCACGATATTGGAAATCTTATTGCTATTACTCAAACAAGCATGAAACTTCTGGGGTTTTCAACAGATGAACGGCTAACTAGATCTGATTTGTCAGATCAACATGAAAGGCATTTGCAGTGGCAGCATCTGTTGTCTTTCGGGTTTGGTAAGGGGAGCAGTTCATAGAGCTTATAGATGCTTATTTGACTGTACTGATACTGCAGACTGTTCCATTGTTCTTTCTTGCTGCAAGCTTTGGCTAGATAACATCATTGTGATTCACGATATTCAGAACTTTAGTGTTAGTAATGTTTTATCTGGATATTCAGATCTTTAGTTTTAGTAATGTTTTATCAGGATATTCAGAACTCTACTTATTGTCAACAATGTTATCCATTTTGTCACTTACTCATTCAAAAGGAAATAACTGTTGAGCGATAACTCTTCATAAAATACACTCTCCATAAGATAAGCAGCTAATCTTCTCGACTCTCAAATTGGTTCATAACAAAATGTGATCGTCATTGTAGGAGAAAATAGTTGATGTATAATTAGATAACAGTTAAATGCCCTTGTTTTTAGGCATATTCGAATGCTTTTGTTAGGTACTTGATGCTATCAGTTGCTACCAACTTGCTGTTGCAAGATCTCTAGTGTATAGTAATCTTTGTTGGGATAGGCAGCCACTCAATCGACTCCTAATCTTTAATAAGGGAATCAGACATTTGTATTTACGATGTTGCCTATGGGGATGACATTCTCTTTCTGTAAATCCTAGCAGTTTTAGCACTTCCCCTCTTTCTGAACGATTAAATAACACTACAAAAGCCTTTAGAGTCAGAGTAGCAAATTTCTGATGCAATAATATCACAACAGGACTACAGGAGCCTTTTGAGTAGGCATAGGAAGCTTATCTTTTCATGTGGTAGCAGGTTCCACTATTTATAGTAGTATTATCTTTTTCCTTTGCAAAGAATCTCTATTACCGATGTTTTACTAGTGTGCCTCATAATTTTGAGTTTTAATTTATCAGTTGGACCTTGTGGCCATTGAATCAGTTCTAGGAGCTGTCACCTCACCCTCTAGTATTGGCAATTACTTGGTTCATGAGGTGAAAAGCATTTGCCTTCTCTTTGCTTTCATTTGAGGTCGCTATCCTGCTTTAATCAAATATTTGATTGATTTGCCTGTTTCAAATTTGTGCTAATTGTTTTTCCATAGTGGCCCAATTTAAGGGTGAAATGGTATTCCTTTCAGCAGAGCTAGGGATAAGGAAGAAACTCAAAACAAAAGCTTTAGAGAAATAACAAGCTTTCAAATAGAAGAGCCAAACGAGAGATTTCTTCATCTTTGGGTCAATAGAGACTACAACTTTGTTTCGTAAACTCAGTCATGTCTTCACTGTACAAGTTACTCCTATCCTCCCTAAACACTGAAAATCAGCAGGTGGTTTTCTGTATACAAGCAAAAAATAAACCCAAATCTTTGTTGTCAGTCCCCAATTGTAACATCTACTCTGAAGTTAACTAAAACCTCTCAATTCCTAATCTTGAGCTAGTCATAATTCCAAAAAGCCAAACCCAGCCAAACTATGATCATCTTCTGAGCTGCTGCAAAAACAGATGTACAAAAACCAGCCAAGGAAAAAACCTAATACAAAAACACCATATTCACTATTCAATTGACCTAAAACCCAGCAGCACCGACATTTCTTAATCAAACCCATAAATGGCTTATATCTCTTTTGCTTCAACATAAGGTGACTGTACACTATCCTCATCAGAATCACTCTCAGACGAACTTCCTGAATCTGAATCTGCAAATTTACCATGGCAAGAGTAAATAATACATCATACCGATTTACCAAAATGAATGACGAAAAAAAAGAAATATCAGAATTTTACCACTGGAAGAGGAATCGCTGCCAGAACTTGAGCTACTAGAACTGCTTGACCCACTACTTGCACATGGGGCATCCTTCTCAATCTGCACCGGAGGAAAGTTTTCAACTGGTATTTCCTCCCCGATATCAACATCCTCTTCCCCAATGTCCCCCTTCTTGTTTTTCTGCATTGCATGCTCTGGTGTTGGTGCCTTCTCAGGCGACTTAAATCACAGAACCAACAGGGTGATCAGAAAATGAGGCATAATAATATTGATTAGTTAACAAATGTATGAAAACTCCAAATGCTATGCTTACCTTGTTGAGCTGTGTGGCAGCAACATCTTCAGTGATTCCTTGTCTCTGCATTGCGCTCAGAGCCTTCCTATGGTAACTTACAAATCTATCCAGTTCCCATAGCGTTTCATTGTCAAGGACCTCGAAGTCGAGCTCAATCTCGTCATCTTCCTGTGCCACATTAGGGTTCCTCCTCTTCACAATTTGCACCACATGACCCATCTTCTCTGGTGGAAGATTCTGCAAGTTAACCCCTAACTTTGCCTTCTCCTCAAAGGTCATCTGCCTTTTGTTTGGATCCTTAGTCTTAGGCTTGGGCAATTTAGCTGTGCGAGGCATAATGACAGGCTGCTGTGGAGGAGTTTTCACTGCAGGGGTTACAAAAAAAGGTGCAGGTGGTGCACTCAAATTCTGTACCTGAAATTGGTGTTGATTCAACAATGTGGAATGCAATCGCTCAGGGTCTGATCTTTTTGTAACTGGCAATGGTCCACGTAACACATTTGGTGGCGGAATTAGTGCAGGCTGAGACAGATTCTTCTGGCAATTCACCTGCATAATAGTTGCAACCTTCTGATGCTCAGCTTCATACTTTTTGTAAGCTGGTTTAAACATCTCTTCAAAGTCAACTAGGAACTTTTCAGCCATAGCATGCACATCCTGGCCTTTAGGGTTATAAGTCATGGCATTGTTGAAAGTCAGTCTCACATCAGCCGCAAAATCTTGTGGCGTTCTGTACTCATTCCTGTCCAGCCTTAATTTCACAGTTCCGAGATCCATAGGGTGCTTTATGATATCAAAATAGTCATAAAGTCCCAGGCTCTTAACATCCACTGGTGTATTAAACACCCAGCCATTCTTATGCTTCATTAATTTCGCCAATATCTGCCGGCACTTCCTCATCAGAGTTACAAAAAACTTATCCCCTTCGACCACTGGCTGCCGCTTAGGTTCTTTCCCCGATGCTAATGCCGCTAAAGCTCGCTTTTGTCCAGAGAGCTTCTTGCTCTTGCTCTTTCCACCAGGTTTCTCATGATGCGGGGGCAATGCCGGTTGGTTCTGCTGAAGCTCTGGTGCTACCGTCGGCTGTACGAGTTCTCTGGACGTCCTGGAGACGAAATCATGGGATTCGATGCTGTTCAGAACGCCCCGGACCCGATTTAGATCAGAGATTAGCCGCTTCTTGAGATCCTTCAACTCTCTTCTCGAATAAGAAGCCAAATTGAAAGTCACGTACTCTCTGTGAAACGAGTCGCTGAGATCATGAACAGCATTTGGTTTCCAACTGAACGGCGGCACATTAGTGTTAGCCGTTTCCACCGCCGGCGACGGAACAGCCCTAGGCAATGGCTCGTTGCCTTGCCGGAGGTGAGGTAAGGCTGAAACATTTTGGACTTGTCTGCTAAGGTTAAAATTGGGGTTAGGGTTAGGGTTAGGGTTAGGGTTGAACCGGCTGTTGAGCTGAGAATGAGCAGTGGAATTACTTGTATATTTCCTCATAAAAACATCCCAGTGCGCTTCATTTCTGCTCGGTAAAACGGCCGATGCCATAGAAGTTTACAGGTTTCATATAAGGGTTTTCGAAATTCCGACAACTAATCTCCGGCGAGGAAATGGCGGGAGCCCATCATTTCAACGGAAAATTCAATTGCACCGGCCGGAAGATCAAAAGTGAGAAACCATAGGGAATTTTTTTTTTCCCCAGCGGAATGAAGTGGAGAAGAAGCAAAGAAAAGGCGAGGGTTTCCAAGACCCTCTCTTTAACCTGAACGAGGAAAAATGTGAAGGCCACGATCTCCTCTTAAAGACAACAAGATCTGCCCCTTTCTGTTTCGGGCAGTTTTTGAGCCCTTTATTCTAAATCACACGGTTGAGATTTTCATCATATATGCTGCCCGACATACTAACCTTGCCATCTGTCACGGACGGCCTAGATTTACGTTACGTACACGTGGAGAGAGATAAAAGCTGTTGAGGAAACTGTGTTTTCCTTTTGGTGGGAAAAGTAAGGACTCGTTTGGCTATAGATTTTGTCAAAATAAACTTGGGTTTTATTTGGCAAACACATGTTTGGCCATAGATTTTGCCTATATTTTGGCCAAATTCCAAATCCCAAAACCAGTAGCTGGTTTTGGACCAAAATATCACTATTGTTTTTTTTAAAAATTACTCCAAACTTTTGTATTTTATAAAAGAGCCCACCATTTGTTATTTTGTAACGATGTTGCTTCGTTTTCTCGGTCATATGATAGTGTATCATGTAGTTCATTATAAAAATGATAATTTTGTATCAAATTTATATATGTTCAGGATTATGGTTTGCGATAATATAATGAATGTTATTGATAATGGTACTGTTGGGTATTTGTGATAGTTTTTAGAACTTGTGGGTATAAGTCATGTTTCATGTTTTTCCAAACCAAACTTCACCCAACACAGATGTCCAAACGCATTTTCATCTTCAAACCAAACTTCACCCAAATCAATTTTTTCAGAATAAATTTGGGAATCTATGGCCAAACGCTAGTTAAATTTTGGTTCGGGAATTTGGTTTCAAGTATATTTGGCAGGCGGTTGGACATGAATTCCATTTTTTATTTTTTCAAATTTAAAATTTCACTAAAATTTGAATTGAAGATGAAATTGTGTTTGGTTATAATTTTTGCAAACATATTTGAATGTCATTTTTTCAATATGTTTTGCAACTAAACACTAACAACCTTCCCATTTTTAATTGAAAAATTGATTCTCACCAGTTTTTTAAATTTAAAAATATATTTTCAAGTGAGATTGAAAAAATTATAAAATTTTGATAAGCAAACATTATTTTTTTAAAAAAATTGAAAAAAAGAAAAAAAAATTTGTATGTCCAAATGACTCTTGGTTGGCAAAAAATGGAGCCTTACAGGTTGGACGTGATGACGTATTATGGATGGGACCCATTGGACCGTCGAAAATATCTATTGCGATGTGCGGTGATGTAGCGGAATTTTGTACCGGCCTAGAATCAGAGGATTATCTTTTCTTTCTTTTCGTTGCCAGGTCACCACCGTTAAAAATTTAGTCCACATGTGCATCCCATTATTTTGTGAAAGGTGACATTAGGGGTGTGTAAATGAAATTGACAAATCATACCAACTCGATAATTCGAGTCAAATCGAAAAAAAAATTCGACTATAGTTTGGTTTAATTTGGTTTGGTGTTACAAAAAAAATCCGACCATATTTGATTTGGTTTTGTTTTAACTAAAAAAAGTCAAATCGAAATCAAACCAACCGGATATTATATGTATAGAAGTTTTAAATATAGTTAATACATAAAAATATTTATGGTAGTGTAGTTTATAAATATTTCTTAAGCTTTTTCATAGTTTTATCTTTTAACGTATTATTTCAAGCTTGGACTTATAATTTTTGGATGCTCCAATAAGTTTTATAGTCCATAAATGTTAGTAACTCAAATAAATCCTAAACCAAAATCAAATCAATACTAATGCTAATTAAAAATATTCAATTCAATTGTACTATGAATGAAAATAGTGTTGGATATATAGTTTTTTAGTTTTTTCATGGTTTAGATAAAATGTATAACTTATTTTTCTTTTAGTGGTTAGTCATGTAAATAATACTAGTACTTATTAGTCATAATTTTAAATTATGTTTGTTTTTATTATGGCTTATTAATAGTAATATTTTTTTTATGCGGTTTATTATCTTTATTGTTGAATATTTTAATACAATGCTATGACTCATCTCATATTTATGTTATTTTTATTGAAAAACACCTTATATAGTTCTGTCTTATTAGGATTAAAGAAATATTTGGAGCACAAATTTTACGTTTTGTGCTATGAAGACTTTATGAGGAAAAAACAAAAAAAATTCGAAAATCCGAGATTAAAAAAATTGACTTTTATTAGTTTGATTTGGTATTTAAATTTAATAATCCGATATAATTGATTTGATTTGGTAATTAAAAAATCCGAACGTCATGTACACCTAGTGGACATAAGGAGGGAAGAGGGAAAGACTACTTCGGCTGACTATATTGGCAAAGATAAGCATAGAACTTTGCATAGATCGCCTGATAAAAATAAAAAGCTAGATAGTAATGCATGTTTGATTATCCACATGCGTAAGCACAACGTTTGTTATGTGATATTAAATACTAATAATAATCTAAAGACATAGATGCTCTTAAAGAGATAATTCTTGTGTAATATTCTTTATATTATCATTCGTTGCATAACAATTTATTCATCAACGATATTTAATTATTCACAACTTAATCCCTTTTTTTTTTTTTTTGTGATAACGCTAGCAAAACTAGTATATGTACCAAACGACTGAGATTTAAACCTACATCTACATTTAGAGTTGAGTTATGATATCTACTAGAACTCTAATCGATCCAAGTCATGGACTCATGAGATGCCTCTCTAGATGTTTTTTTTCTTTTTTCTTTTTTGATGCCATTAAAAATAATAAAACATCAACTCAATATTTTCCAACAAGTTTCGTTTATTTCAAATTGTGCAACGAGATTCTTTTAAAAAAAATTATTTCGGTGGGAGAAGCCCAGTAAAGGAAAGGAAAAGAAAGAACAGGTGAAACGCTGAACCTCTGTCGCATCTTATTACCCTGTTTTTTTTTTTCATGTATCCTCCTTTGTCGCACCTTTGCGCATTACGCTGGTTACTCTTCTGCAAACGAGGTCTAAGCAAGTGTTAAATCTGACATTGAGGATGAGCTTGAAGCTCGATCTGGAGTTCCAATGGAGTACTTCTAAAGGATTCTATGAGAGAGAGTTTGTGAGAGATAAAAGTAGAAATTGGAAAGTGAAAATCTGACTCCTTTCTCATTACTATACCGAGTATATACATGTGTGGATACAACTAATGCTGAGTTGGCCACTAACTACACAACTAACTCTACTCAATTATAATTAACTAACATCACTAACTATACAATTAACATATAACAATATAATTATACAAGTCTTAACACCCCCCTCAAGTTGGAGGTGTTGTGTACACTGCCAACTTGCTCAAAATTGCTGAGTGCTTCACTCCTGTCAGAACCTTGGTAAGGACATCAGCCAACTGATTGTCTGTTGCTACATGCTGAAGTGAGATCAGTCCCTCTTGTAGCTTGCTTCTGACAAAGTGACAATCCACATCTATGTATTTTATCCGCTCATGAAACACAGGATTTCTTGCTATATGTAGAGCTGATTGGCTATCACAAAAGACTTCTACTGGTTTACCAAAGGACACATTGAGCTCTTCAAGTAATCTGCACAGCCACACCAATTCCCCTACTACTTTTCTGAGTGCCTTGTACTCTGCCTCTGCTGATGACAATGAAATAGTCTCTTGTTTCTTAGATTTCCAGCATATAGGACTGTTCCCTAATAGAATTAAGTAACCACTCACTGATTTTCTTGAGTCTGGGCAAGCAGCCCAATCAGAATCACAATAGGCTCTAACATTATAGTTTGGATCATGTGACATGAATATTCCCATGGAGGGGCCACCCTTCAAGTATCTAAGCAGGTGAAAGGCTGCTTTCTAGTGGGGTTCTCTTGGATCTTGCATGAATTGGCTAAGATGTTGTACACTGTAGGCTATGTCTATTCTTATGTTGGTGAGAAAATTCAATTTCCCAACCAGCTTTCTGTAATAGGTGGGATCAGTTAATGCAGTCCCCTCTTTAGCTTTCAACTTCACTGTTGGATCAAGTGGAGAGGCTAGGCTACTATAATCTATGCAGTTGTACTCTTTTAGCAAATCAAGCACAAACTTTCTTTGTGAAATTACAACTCCATCAGCTTTATAGAATATTTCCAGCCCCAGAAAATAGTGGAGCTTACCCAAGTCTTTAATCTTGAAACTTTCATGTAGAAATGCCTTCAGTTCCTCTATCTCCTCCTTGTTTGTTCCTGTCAGTATTACATCATCTACGTATACTTCCACATATATTGTTGATTCAGTTGTCTTCTTGTAGAAAAGTGAATAATCATACATAGAGTGGGTATATCCCTTACAGCACAATGCTTCACTCAATTTTGCATACCATTGTCTGCTTGCCTGTTTGAGGCCATACAAGGACTTCTTGAGTTTGCATACTAGATGTCCATTGTCTACTACCAAACCTTGTGGCACTTCCATATACACCTCTTCATGGAGGTCTCTGTGAAGAAAGGCATTGTTCACATCTAACTGAAATATATCCCAGCCTTTCTTGACTGCTACAACTATGAGAGCTCTTACTGTTGTAATTTTCACCACATGACTGAATGTTTCTGTGTAATCAATTCCAGCTTGTTGGGTATATCCCTTTATCACTAACCTGGCCTTGAACCTTTCTACACTGCCATCTGCCTTATGCTTCACTTTATACACCCATTTACACTCTATGGCTTGTTTCTCAACTGGTAATGGTACTAGCTCCCAAGTGTTGTTGGCATGCAATGCCTCAAACTCTTGTGTCATTGCTGCTTGCCAGGCAGGATACATAGCTGCTTCCTCATATGAGTTAGGCTCTTTGTCACTGTAAGTGCTTCTCACAGGGCACTGATTATCCTGATTTAGATTCTCAGTAGATATGTGAATGTGAGGAGAGGATAAGGCATTAACAGAAAGAGAGGCATTAGTGTTTTTGGCATTTGGTTTCAGTTGGGGTAGTTTGTGAACATAATCCCTCAAGTATGTGGGAACTTTGTGTGTTCTATGAGATTGCCTTGGTGCCAAGACATGTTCAGGTGAGGTATTCCTAATATATCTTACTGGTGAGTCATTTTGTGGATCTTCTGGAGTATGTGAATCAAGTGAATCTATGTTATTGGGGGAAAGGGATAAAGGATCAGATGACAAATCTGGATGTGTGACATTTGAAACCCCTTGATCATTTGATTCACTAGTTTAACTTTGCTCATTCTCACTAGACATATGATCAATAAAAGGAATGGATTGAATGACATAGGGAAATGAAGCAGTATCCTTAGACATACTAAAAGGGAAGATATTTTCATTGAAAATTACATCTTTAGATACATGTGTTTTCTTGATGGCCAGACTGAGCACTTTGTATCCCTTTACCCCAAAGGG